TGAAGGGGCCTGTAACAGACAAGTTGTATCAGTGAATAAAATCATGCACTTCATTGAAGAGACCAAAGAATGAACTGAAATAAGATTATACTTGAAAGAGGGAACATGCAATATTTTATTTAAGATAATCTTAGATGTAATAGGGGCATCACCATACTCTGTCACTTTGACCTTATATCCATTAGGGAGTGAAACAAGTATAGGGTAAGGCAATGTTTGGACATTTGTTAGGGAAGATTTGTTAAATGTCATATGGTTTGAAGCTTCTGAGTCAATGATCCATAAATCAGTGCTTGATCTAAAACATTTGCATGAAGCACTACCAAAATCAATAGAAGAGGTGCATACTACTATACCTGCAAAATTGTTAGACGCAGCAGCAACCTTAAATCCTCTCTTGAAACATCAGTCTGGAAATGCTGCAGTAGACTCATGATCTGACCATATTGCTCTTGTGTGATGGTAGCAATTGGGTTGTTGTTGCCCTGTGAGCAGTCTTCTTCCTTATGTGTATCAGGTGTTGTGCCATGTGCATTAGCCACAATTCTCTTTCCCTTGAAATTTTGATGATTGTTTTGCATGTACTACTGTCCATTATTATGATTGTTGGACTTGTGATTAAGAATGTTGTTCCCTGGAAGGATATACATGTAGCTTATAGTACCTCTCCTTAGTATATCCTTGTTTCTTACAGAACTCACAGATTATGACTCCTCTATTGGTGTTATTACCTAAGAAAGAACCATTGCATGTATAATCGCTGTTGCTACCTGGATTGTTGCTACTTGAAAAATTTGTTCTATAAGCTTTTCCACTTGTAGATCCTCTATCAATAAGCATTTAGAGAAGTTGACTCCATAGGCATACGATTAGCAGGCCTAAATTCCCTTTGCTTCTCAACAAGGAAAAGACGTGTGCCATGGAGGGAAGAGGATTTATCATGAGTATATTACCCCTTATCACAGTGTATATTTCATTCAATCCCATAAGAAATTGTATCAATCGTCTATCCTGTTCAGATTTGTGCATACTCTCCTTAGCACCACATGTGCATAAGCAAGTGCATAGGCTCTTCGCAATCAAAGTACTCAATTCCTCCCACAACTTCTTCATCCTTGTGTAATAGACAGTGATGTCTAGAACACCTTATGTTAAGTCATCAATTTCCTTCTGTATCTGATACAATTTTGCACCATTGGTCTGATCATATCTATCTTCCAGCTCCTTCCAAAGTTCAGCAAAATTATTGACATAGTCTACACTATCTGAGATTTCTTTGGTCAAGGAATTCAAATCCATGATGTTACCATATCATCACATCTCCGCCATTGGCGAGATTGAGGTGAATTCTCAGCTGGCTTCACACAGCTCCTGTAAATGAAACCAGACTTATTCTTCACAGATAAGGCTCGTAGAACACCTCTTCTCCGGGACCTATATCCAGCTCCATCAAATTGAACTAGAATGAGTAGCATCATTGGCCTATCTGAAGGATGAACATAGAGAGCACTATTTGTGTCAACTCCAGCAGTAGCAGTTACCACATGAGGTACATCAACATCTCCCATGATGAAAAAAAAACTTCAATTGAATCTGAAAACAGAAATACTAGATCTAGAAGATCGAGAAAGAAAGGAATCGAAACAGGTACAGCCAACAAGGCTCTGATACCATATCAAAACTCACAACAATGGTGAGCACTCAATCAGAATGAAACAGAGAAGCCATGAAAGGCAATTGAGAGAGAAGAGCTGTGAAAACTGTATTTTGGGGAAATGAAAAATTATTGTTTCATTGATCATTCAAGGATTATATACATGATACTAAGAACCTTCTAAAAGAATCAAATACACAGAAAATGTCCTAACTAACTAACCGACATACTAACAAACTAACAAACTACTATATTATGACTAATTGAGTTGTACGTTAACTGGTAGCTAGCTAACTATTATGACTAAGCTAGTGATTAATTTAGCTATAGTAGTTGTCAATAAAAACAACAACATGAGAAGAAGACAACAACAATGTATTTTCTTTTGGAGCTTATTTCCGTCCCTGGGCTTCATCTCTGGAGGAGATTTCAAAATCGAGCTCAGACTTATTCATGGATGGTAGAAATATCATCTTTGGCCATAAAAGAAAAGAAAATATTTTTGTCTCTTCAGTTCAGGTCTCCATAACTTTTCCGCATGGTTTATATCAGAAGAACGAAAGTTATATTTTTTATCATCATCAGAGACAAAATTAAGTAAGGAAGCAATAAACACACAAAAAAAATAGGCAATTAGAAAAACAAAGGCCAAATTCAAATTTAATCAGCTTCAATGCAAATACCACATGCAATATCCATGTCCAAAAAGAAAATTAACTCTTTACATACATTAAATGTATAAAAAATCCAAACAAGAATACATGTGATTTCTTGTCCAAACAAGAAGGTTGATGAAAACACTTCTTTAGTTTTTTGTTTTGTTATTCTTCAGTTTGAAGGTAGTCCTTATGAAATCAATTTTTCAATTGCCCTTTTTATTCGTAAGTGTATAAGTATTCTGAACGACTTTGCTTCTATTTAAGCACAATTCTTCAGACCGTTGTTCTTCACTTCAAACTGCACATTAACTCAAACTCTCTTAACTTAGAGTTGTTCTTCACTTCAAACTCCACATGACTCGAACTCTTTTTACTTAGAGTTCTACTCTAAGAATGTTGTTAAGTGCAATTGACATCCAGTTGGTGATATAAGTGAAAGTATTATCCTTCTACTTTTAATTAAATTGAGCAAGTTTTAGGAAAAATCGAAATTTATTAACGAATAAATATTAGTAATGTTAATTTGTGGTGTTGATAATCTAATGATGTGAAAATATATAATATTTGCATAATGGTATATAACACTTAAACTAATTCAATTTTGACAAACGACACTATAAGTTATGTACCAACATATATAAATAATTAATTAACAACTCCACACTAATTTGTTAAATAATTTTATTTTCATAGATCAAGTAATACTTGATAACAATATTCATATCTATTGGTGTAGTTTGACGATGAGAAGAATTAAGAAAAAAAATTCAAATTAAATGAACACTGCTAAAACTTTTTAGCTTCAAAATATTGTTATCGATGTCAATGATCTCACCAACGCAATTCTGATAGAATCATATAACATTGTATTTTACATATAATTTAAACCGTGATATATTTTTAATTCTATAAGAAAACATTAATTTATTATGAAAAACTGATAAATATATCTTCTAGAGCATATGAATGTGAGTCTTCAAAACTTAATTGTCGATACTCTTCTACAGGTGGGAAGGAAGAAAATAAAACTTCAAGGAGAAAAAAAGTCATGTGTTGATAATTAATTTTATATAATGAATATATATGATGGTAGCAAGTGTAGACAAATTATAAGGCCAATATAACATTAATGTTTTAAATCCAATAATTTATAAGCTACTTTGTTGTATTTTTGTGTATCAATCAATTATATCATTTTGACTTTTGATATCAGTAATGAAATTACTTTGTTCGTAACGTTTAATTTTGATCCGACGTTGAATTATCATATTCCACTTTTAAGTACATATTAATAAAATTGGTCAAAAATATGACAGTTGTCAATGTCTGTTTCTTGAAATGAATTTCCTTTTTAAGTCATTGAAATGTCTCCCATGCCTTTATGGCTTTTACTCTTTCAATAGCGTCTGCAGATGATCATTCATTCTTTCATATTCTCATAGTTGGTATGTGGAAAGACAAGAGAGAGATATTCTCCCTCCTAAAATATCTGGTGTTTGTGCGTTTTAGCTTTTATTTGAATTTCTGTCAGTTTTTCTGAGATTAGTTTTTTATTACTCCAGAAGATCTTGTGAGGAATACAACAGGTGAAATATTTTTTAAGAATAATATCTTTGACACACCTTAAGTTGTAAGAATTTCCTACAAGTATTCGTATTAAAGTAGTTTTTTTTTGTAAGATTTTCAATATTTAGTTGGTCACGAATATTAGGATTGCATTTAATTAAGATGATGGATACAATCATTATTATTTTCATAATATTTGGTTCTTTTTTTCCCTTGTATTATGTTGTATTATTTTATCCCGCCTAAACTGTGGAAGGAAATTACAGCAACCTGAAATTGAATTAGGCGATTCTGCTGAGGCAATTGTTACCATTACACAAGGTTGCTGTTGTGGTGGTGGTGACAGTACTTTTGATGGTGGTCCTGGTGGTAATTGCGGCAGTGCTGTTGATGGTGGTCTTGGCGGCGGTTAATTAACACCTTGTTTGGATGGTTGTTATCCATTGTATTGTATTGTTTGTTTAGATTCAATGTTCGTTTCGATTGTTATTTAAACTGTATCGTATCGTTTAAATCCATTGCTAGGTAATGACGAGAAGTCCATTTTGTGTAACGATCACTACCTTAATATTTTCTTCTCATTTTTATCTTTTACTTATTATTTAATAATCCAATTTTATCGATGTTATATAACAACCGAAACAGAGGGTAAGAAGTTTGTCGCTTCGTTATTCTTTTTACTGTTATTCTCTTTTGTGGTTTACTTTTGGACCGTCACGTTGGGAGGCCCTCCCAAAACTAGCTATGTATATATTCCTGTTATTTACTTATGTACTAAGAATAAATTCGGTATTGTTCTTTGTGTGATACAAGTTCTAGATAAAATTCGATCTTTTTTATTTTAGATAATAATGTACAATCCAATTTGAATTTTCAATAAAAACTTAGTTAATTACAAGATTGACATCTTTAACTTGAATGTAGTTTTATTCCACTAACATAATAATCATTTCTGTTTTAAACAAGAGTAAATAGAGATAATGATATTAGATTTTATAACAAATGCGGCTCGATTGGCAAATGGTTTATCAGGGCCGAACTAGTTTTGGCATCAGGTGCCAATGGCGCCCACAATTTCAATCAGGCAAAATATATTAAGCATCATTTTGCATAATCGACACTTACACATGTGATGTTGAAGGAAGGACTACAACTTTGTCATAACAATTTCGGGCCAACCTTAAACAATCAAGCCAATGCAAAATCTGTGAGTTGGGATCCCTCTCTATAACAACATCAGAAACAGTAATCTGAAGATTACCTCTATACCTACTGATCTTCCCGCGAACTCGACCAATAACCCCAAGTTGGATTTGGGAAGCAAAATCAGCGGCCATCTGGGCAATTAGTCGAACATTTGATGGGCAACGACGATGCGAACTCTCATGGTTGAGCCATAGGATACAAGGTATGCAACCAGTGCCATCATCAATGTCGAACTTGATAAATCTGTTGGGCTTGAAATCTCTGCTTACGACCATACCTACTGTCTCTGCGCGCGAGAGGCGTCTCCCCTTGCGAAAAAAAATGGTGGATTCGTAGGGGATTGGTTTCAGTGTAAGAAAATCGAACGCCAAGAGCTTGACGTGTGTATTGACAAGCTGTAGAGCATCATCCATTAATGGAGTCTTTCTTTTTGACGGAGCCGTCTCCTCTAATGAAGAAGATGACTTTTTACCCTAACTATTCATCCCTTGTATGCTAAATCCTATTATGTATTTGGAAACAATTAGGGGCCGTTTGGTTGCTGGTTAGAGTTATGCAGGTATTAGTAATGCAGGTATTAGTTATGCAGGTATTAGTAATGCAGGTATTAGTTATGCATGTATTAGTTATGCATGTATTAGTTATGCAGAGTTTAATTATGCAGAGTTTAATTATGCAGAGTTTAATAATTTTTTTGGATGTTGGTTTGTTATATTAAAAATTAATAAACATTATATACTTGTTAAAAATAAATTATTTGTTATTGTTATATCTTAGACCTTTCTTACCGTTGTATTTTTATTTATTTTTGCGTTTTGCTTAGGCAAAATTTTGGACAGAAACTTAAATGCCACATTTTTCAACTTCCTCATATAGTTGAACCGATGTATATATATGATACGTGTTAACACGGGACCAATATTGTAATAGTTGAAACTTATTGATATGCTAGTACATATAATTATGTGTACATATAACAAAAATAGATACATATAAGTTAACATCTGAGCAACACCGCGTATTAATGCTAGATATTATATTTGGAGCCTTTACTTCAATAATCTATAATATAGAAATGAGGAAGTTTGTTTTTTTCTATTTGATGAAGGAGATCATATTTACAAAAGTCTTGGCAAGAACTAGTGGAAGCTCTAGAGCTTACTTCAAGCAAAGCCATTGATATGCACATTGATAGATATGGCTTACTTCCAATGGCAAGAACCATTGATAGAGGATGCTTACTTCCAACAGAACAATCTATTGTTGGACACTATCCTCAACAATTATCGACATTGTCCTCACCCATAGACAATATCCCCAATAATTTGAATGTCTACTTAATTTTCAAAATAATAATGGAGTACATTAAATCTAAATTTCAGTTTCGTCATACTAAATAATTCATTCAGTTACAATTTTCACATACTGCCATATCTTAAAATTGAGAGTCCATTTTTCAAGCAACAAAATAGTGACAAAATAAATTTTATAAGATGAAGAATACAACAAATCTAACATATACCATTGAGACAAACTTGAAATTCTAGTACCGTGGCCTCACGGAATCAAACTAGACCCACCTTCATTAAATGTGAAAGAAACTTACATAATTCACTGTTAAATTATATAAACTGGCACATAAAACATAGGCAAAATAAAACTTAACTAGGCATGGTTATACCTAACAAAGTAGCTACACCAAAAACCATTCAAAGGTTTAAAGTTTATCATCAATAATCATTCATACCATAGTGTAACGATCAAGCTCATTGATGCTTAAAAAGCACTCCATGAACTTTGTGTTGCTCCAGCTGATACACTAGGTTCCCCTTGAGCAATTTGATCTTCTTTTTTAGCTGGAGCATCATCTTCATCGACAACAATAATAGGAAATTCAAAAGACATATCATTAGCAACTTCTTGAGCTTCAATTCTTTCTATTTCTTGAACACCAACTTCTGGCCCCTCGGTAGATTGTTCAGTAGCTCCATCCTTGCGAAATATCTCTTCCCAATCAACAAATAATGGCCATTTCCTAAATGTCATTGACTTGGCATATGGATCAACCTAAGAAAAAAAAGAAACAAGTATATGAAGTAACTGATAATATTCCAAAGACAGAGATTATATTCACCAAGAGAAAATATAACTAACTAGCTTTAGTTTACTAATAATTTAAACAATTGTAAATCACCTTTATGAAGTCATCCCAAGCTTTTGGATCTTCAACCAAGATAGTTCCATCGCTGTATCGAAATCCTAAGCCACTTCGACTTTTTACCAATGATAGGGTCATATAATGCTTTTTCCACCATCTTATTTTTGAAAAAATATGTGGTAGAGCTTGCAATCCGCTATTAGGATGACAATCATTCATGTGTTGTTCAAGTTCCATCAAATATCCATGTTTAAAGGTTCCATCATCTTCTTTCCAATCATTAGCACACAACTTTTTTAATCCATCAACCAGAGTGAGTTCCTCTTCTTGAGTCCACACCCTTGCCCTTTTTTGAGACATGTTAGACCTTCTTTTAGTGGGACTGCCAATTTTAATCTGTAAGAATGTAAAAAATCACAATTTATACTAACTTATGATTCACTACAAAATTATACTAACTTATTTTCACATATATTGCATTTGTCTCTCACCAGATTTACAAGAGAAAAAAAAACAATATGATAAGAAGAAGACGAAAGCATAAGAAAAGGTTAAGATTTCAAAAGTTTCTAACCTCAAAGAAAGAATTTAGATTGAGCGTTCTTCAAGATTTGCCTCTTAGAAGATAATGAAATTTTAGATCTATAAAAAGGCATATAATGTATCTGATTGTATTTAATTAGAAGTGAAGAAGGGTCACAGTTACCTATCTACCATACACAATTGAAATGGTCAGCATTGGAGGTAATAAATCCATCCGTCCTTTGGTTAGTAATGGAAGTTTAATGCAATTCTAAGAAGTGAATGACAATTGAATGGTAATCCTTTAATGGATTCTAAAGTTAGACTTTGAGCAATTAATGACACAAATAGGCTTGCCAGATTTTAGAACTGTTGGAAAATCATTTCGACTAAATTTCCAAGTTAAAAAGCCTAATTGAACAAACTCAAAACGAAAGCGTCGATACTCGAACCAACCATCCTAATAGACTAAAAATGACCTTCCGGATCTAACCGTGCTGACGGAATTCTCATCCGATCAGTTTTTACTAAGAATACTGACTGAAGTCGATATTTGAGTAAATTTCCAAGCTAAAACGCCTAATTGCACAAACTCAAAACGAAAGCCTCGAAACTCAAACCAGCCATCCTACTAGACTAAAAATGACCTTCCGGATCTAACCACGCTGACGGAATTCTCATCCGATCAGTTTTTACTAAGAATACTGACTGAAGTCGATATTTGAGTAAATTTCCAAGTTAAAACGCCTAATTGCACAAACTCAAAACGAAAGCCTCGAAACTCAAACCAGCCATCCTACTAGACTAAAAATGACCTTCCGGATCTAACCGCGCTGACGGAATTCTCATCCGATCAGTTTTTACTAAGAATACTGACTGAAGTCGATATTTGAGTAAATTTCCAAGTTAAAACGCCTAATTGCACAAACTCAAAACGAAAGCCTCGAAACTCAAACCAGCCATCCTACTAGACTAAAAATGACCTTCTGGATCTAACCGCGCTGACGGAATTCTCATCCGATCAGTTTTTACTAAAAATACTGACTGAAGTCGATATTTGAGTAAATTTCCAAGTTAAAACGCCTAATTGCACAAACTCAAAACGAAAGCCTCGAAACTCAAACCAGCCATCCTACTAGACTAAAAATGACCTTCCGGATCTAACCGCGCTGATGGAATTCTCATCTGATCAGTTTTTACTAAGAATATTGACTGAAGTAGAACTTTGAGTAAATTTTCAAGTTAAAACGCCTAATTGCACAAACTCAAAACGAAAGTCTCGAAACTCAAACCAGCCATCCTACTAGACTAAAAATAACCTTCCGGATCTAACCGCGCTGACGGAATTCTCATCCGATCAGTTTTTACTAAGAATATTGACTGAAGTCGATATTTGAGTAAATTTCCAAGTTAAAACGCCTAATTGCACAAACTCAAAATGGATGCCTCGAAACTCAAACCAGCCATCCTACTAAAACAAAAATGACCTTATGGAGCTAACCGAGCTGATGTAATTCTCATCTGGTCACATTTTACCAAGATATTTGAAATTTAGTCAAAGTTTGACTACATTCAATATTCTTGGTAAAACATGATCGGATGAGAATTCCGTTGGCGCGGTTAGATTCGGAAGGTCATTTTTGGTCTAGTAGGATGGCTGGTTTGAGTTTGAGGCTTTCGTTTTGAGTTTGTACAATTAGGCTTTTTAACTTGGAAATTTACTCAAATATCGACTTCAGTCAATATTCTTAGTAAAAACTGATCGAATGAGAATTCCGTCAGCGCGGTTAGATTTGGAAGGTCATTTTTAGTCTGGTAGGATGGCTGGTTTGAGTTTCGAGGCTTTCGTTTTGAGTTTGTGCAATTAGGCGTTTTAACTTGGAAATTTACTCAAATATCGACTTCAGTCAATATTCTTAGTAAACACTGATCGGATGAGAATTCCGTCAGCACGGTTAGATCCGGAAGGTCATTTTTAGTCTAGTAGGATGGCTGGTTTGAGTTTCGAGACTTTCGTTTTGAGTTTGTGCAATTAGGCGTTTTAACTTGGAAATTTACTCAAATATCGACTTCAGTCAGTATTCTTAGTAAAAACTGATCAGATGAGAATTTTGTCAGCGCGGTTAGATCCGGAAGGTCATTTTTAGTCTAGTAGGATGGCTGGTTTGAGTTTCGAGACTTTCGTTTTGAGTTTGTGCAATTAGGCGTTTTAACTTGGAAATTTACTCAAATATCGACTTCAGTCAGTATTCTTAGTAAAAACTGATCGGATGAGAATTCCGTCAGCGCGGTTAGATCCGGAAGGTCATTTTTAGTCTAGTAGGATGGCTGGTTTGAGTTTCGAGGCTTTCGTTTTGAGTTTGTGCAATTAGGCGTTTTAACTTGGAAATTTACTCAAATATCGACTTCAGTCAGTATTCTTAGTAAAAACTGATCGGATGAGAATTCCGTCAGCGCGGTTAGATCCGGAAGGTCATTTTTAGTCTAGTAGGATGGCTGGTTTGAGTTTCGAGACTTTCGTTTTGAGTTTGTGCAATTAGGCGTTTTAGCTTGGAAATTTACTCAAATATCGACTTCAGTCAGTATTCTTAGTAAAAACTGATCGGATGAGAATTCCGTCAGCACGGTTAGATCCGGAAGGTCATTTTTAGTCTATTAGGATGGTTGGTTCGAGTATCGACGCTTTCGTTTTGAGTTTGTGCAATTAGGCGTTTTAACTTGGAAATTTAGTCGAAATGGTTTTCCAACAGTTCTAAAATCTGGCAAGCCTATTTGTGTCATTAGTTGCTCAAAGTCTAACTTTAGAATCCATAACAGGATTACCATTCAATTGTCATTCACTTCTTAGAATTGCATTAAACTTCCATTACTAACCAAATGACGGATGGATTTATTACCTCCAACGCGGACCATTTCAATTGTGTATGGTAGATAGATAACTGTGACCCTTCTTCACTTCTAATTAAATACAATCAGATACATTATGAGGAATAGATAGCTATTGTAGATAGATAGCTGTAACCTTTATCAGAATCACTTTATTTCCATTCTTTACTTGAAAGTGCATTAGTTGCTCTTTATTACTTTCACCAACTATCAATCCAAATGATCCAAATCCTTGTCTTTGTCAAAATTACTACAGTTTGTCTGCCATTTTCAACGTGGTAGTTCTGCAATAATGATGTGATATTCTTTATTTTAGAGCACCTCAACTACGTGACTATACAAATTAAGCTAAATGAGAAAGCATTCATGAGGAAAGAATTCAATCACACATAATTCATTGTTAAAATATTAGACACATCTTCATTTAAAGTGAATGAAACTTACATAATTCATTGTTCAATTACAAAAGCTGGCACATACAACAAAGACATACAATTACTTTTTTTTCAAAAGAAGTCTCCTATTTTTGTAACATTATCCTTCCATGACAAACACCAAGCTTCAAAAGTTGAATACCAGCCCCAATAACATATAATCACTTGACAAAATAGCATTTGAGTACTTTGTATTTCTGACTGGATCTTTGTGATTACTCCAACTGCTGAATAGTATGCGAGAAAAGAAAATTTCAATACAGTCTCGGAGAAGAAGGAATTAAAAACACCTTGGAGAAGATGAACTTACCGTTTGGGTCAGCGTTTTGAGCAATCTGAAGAGCATCTGAGTTGGCTACTTAAAAAAACACTAATGTTGAACCTAATCATGCATTTGTTATACAAAAACAACCTACTTTAAGCCCACAACATTCACATATATGTACATTTGTGGACATTCTACTAGGTAACAAAAAATCCCATTATAGTTAGACCTTACAAAATAGCTACACAAAAACCATCAGTGATTTAAAGCTTATCATTAATAATCATCCATATCATACTGTGGCGTTCAAGTTCACTGATGCTTAAGAAGAATTCCATCCTCTTTATATCTTGAGTAATTCCCATTGCTGCCTTGACTCATTCATCTGAGTTGTATATTTCAAATGCAGGGGATCCAATAATAGAAAATATCTTACCACGAATCTCAGATAGATCACGCTCTCCTAGCTTGTCAATTAAAGAAGCCATCCTTTTATCATGGCTTTCAGTGAATTGTTTCATCACCTCCATCAAACCTTTAAGAACAGTCTCATTATCATCTTCAGTTGTTTTTCTTTTTTTGCATCTACCTTTTTCGTTGACTTTAGAAGATGATGCTTTAAAACTATTACCTTGTTTTTGAGATTGATGGGTTTCACCTTTTTGAGTTGTGAATGAACTTTGTGCTGCTCCAGTTGATTCATTAGGTTCATCTTGAGTAGTAAATGGACTTTGTGTTGCTCCAGTTGATACATTAGGTTCCTCTTGAGCAGCTTGATCTTCTCTTGTGCCTGAAGCATCATCTACGTCGACAACATCAATAGGAAATCCCACAGACATGCCATCAGTAATTTCTTGAGCTTCAATTCTTTCTATTTCTTCAACAACATCTTCTGGCCCTTCGGCAAACTCTCCAGTAGCTCTATCCTTGCCAAATATCACTTCCCAGTCAGCAAATAATGGCCATTTTTTTAAGTTCATTGACTTGGCATTTGGATCAACCTAAGAAAATAAAGAACAAGTACATGAAGTAACTGAAAATATTCCATAAACAAAGATCCATTAACCAAGAGAAAATATAAGTAAGTAGCAATTCCCTAATGATTTAAAATAAATATAAATCACCTTTATCAAGTCATCCCAAGCTTTAGGATCATCAACTAAGATACTTCCATCACTATATTGGAATCCTAAACCACTTCGACTCTTTAGCAACGATATTGTTGCATAACTCTTTTTCCATGCTCTTATTTTAGAATCAACATGTGGTAGAGATTTCAATCCACAGTTAGGATGACGAGCATTCATGTAGTGTTCCAATTCCATTAAATATCCATGTCTAAAGGTTCCATTATCTCCTCTCCAACCATTAACACACAATTCTTTTAATCCATCTACAAGAGTAAGTTCCTCTTTTGGAGTCCATACCCTTCGAGATGAAGGTGTTGATTTTCTTGCCCTCTTTCTGGACGTGTTAGATGCTGCAGCAGTAGAACTAGCCATTTCAATCTGTAAAATTGTAAATGAAATCACAAGTAATACTTTACAACTTACAAGTAAAAAATTTCAACTATAACCAAATAACTTGTAATACAACTTGATTGATCTAGGAAAAAGATAATGTGATGACATATATACAAAATCACTACTTTTATTCAAAAATAATAGATATACATTGAGTTTCACTATTTGTTTGTACAGACAACAATGTGAGACATACAAAAGATTGACCATTCGTTTTCACAAAATAATAAAAGCTATTACATTTTACAGTGAGCGGAAAACCAAAAACAAAAGTGCATAAGCACACCAAAAGTGATCACATAGTTTAAAATTATAAAGATTGATTTCCCAATCTTTCATTCCACATAGATTGAGCTAGTTCATCCCTCCAAGTGGTCCACTCATCAGATGCTTCAATTGTATTAATATTGTCATGTTCATGTTGATTTTCCATGTGGAATTCCATTTCCACATCTAATGGGTCAGCTTCCATCTCTCTTCGAATGAAATTGTGAATCAAACAACATGCACTAATAATTCTATTGTGAACCTTAACCGAGTACCACGAAGGACTTCTAAGAATTCCCCAACGTCCTTTTAATAGTCCAAATGCTCTTTCAATAACATTACGCGCCCTAGCATTCTTCATATTAAAGAGCTCTTCTCGACAGTGAAGTGACGGATTGTCACCTTGCCAATCCTTTAGCCAATATCTATATCCTCGGTAGGGAGACAAAAAACCATTTCCATTTGTATATCCTCCATCGCACAAATAGTAATTGCCTAAAAATGTAAACAATAATATAATTACTTTAAATATTATTTTATTTTGATGTTGTAGAAATAGACAAGATCTGCCTATTATTTAGCATACCCTGAGGTACTTTCAACCTATTTCTTCGTACAACAGCATCTCGCAATACGCGACCATCAGCGGCTGATCCCTCCCAACCAGGTAATACATAAATGAAGTTGAGATTTCTATCACAAACCCCCAAGACATTAGTTGCTATATCTCCTTTTCGTGTTCTGTATCTTGGCTTATATATTGCTTCAACTCTAATGGAAATGTAAGTACCATCCAATGCACCAAGACAACCCTATAAGATAAATTCAACTCTAAATACTAAAGGACTATTAAAAGTAAAAATACTTTCACCATAATATTTCAAGTTTGTTGTAGTAAATCAAATGTTAGATTGAAATTTACCTACCTTAAACCATTTCCATCGATCATCAGTATCATCTTCGAGCACCGGATTAGGTTTAACAAGTAACAATGGAGTTAGTTTAAGAATAGCTCTTAGACATTCATTAAAGGCTCGACTTACACTCCACCCCGATCTAATATAATCAACTTTGACAGACCTGTTCTTTTCGTGATGAGCCAAAATATTTAAGAACATTGCTAATTTTTCAGTACTCGACATATTTTTACTATCAGTCAACCCTCCAATATTCTTGGCTAAGGAGGCCAAAATGTGAAAGGCATTTCTATCCATCCTAAGCTTGTCAATACATACAATATCATTGTCACGAATGAGAACATTTAGATGAGACAAGATTTTAGGAATTCTAGCACTCATACAATATCGAATGACCCGTCTATTTCTAGATTGGTTTCTTAATAACATGCTGTAAATAGCCATAAAAAAGCAAATAAGGACAATATACGAATGCACCACAATCTCCTCGAGGATCATAAAGCATTCAACATCGCACAACTGCTGAGAATCCATTTACACCTATTTTCCATTTAAAAATTGCAACATCATTATCAAATTGAATCCAAAAGAAACAAAAGTATCAATCATGTTACTTAACTATTGCAGACACATTATGTAAAATAGGAAGGTAATAGATGGTTTCAAACTAGAATGCTCAATTTTATTTTTAAAAAAAATGAAAAGTAACATTGAAAAACAGGGTAAAATGTTTATTTTTGTTTGGCTTCAATAGCTAGAATACAATACTATTTTGTCAAACTACAAATAACATGTTCATCTTTTGCAATTTTAGAAGCTAAAACAACTAAACCTAATGAACCCATTTTTCAGAAAGCACGATTTTTGAACAAACAAAACAAAATCCACATCAAATTTGGATGTACTAAAACATCAACTTAACTAGAAAATACTGAGAAGATCTAGAATTTCATTCGTCTCTCATCAGATTAACAAGAGGAAAAACACAAAAAGAGAAAACAGGAGGAGAAGAAGAAGAAAATAAAACAAGATCAGCCAAATTTTGAGTTTCTGAACTTCTAACCTCAAAGAAAGAACGTCAGATTGAAAGTTTTTCAATCTATTGGCCTGGAAGATGAAGAGTCATTCTAGATCTAGAGATATGGAGAGTGGATCTAAATGTTTTTCTAAAAAGAAGTGTTGTATATTTGATTGAGAGTGAAGGGCAAAATTGTCAATTTATATTTTTATTCAGGTATTAGTTATTCAGGTATAACTTATTCCATCTTTTACCCTACATAAAATAATACATAGATTGACTCATAATTTAAACATGTATTAGTTATGTGGCTTTCTAATTTTCTAACCAAACATAGTATTATGTGTGTTGAATTTTATACATTTGACAAAAAATTGCTACCAAACATGGTAAAGCTTATGCAACATTATTTTATACCTGAATAACTCAATCCTTATCCAGTAACCAAATGGCCCCTTAATGTTGAAATCGGGTTAATTTAAGTTAATTTGGATTTTTCATCCAATTGAGAGGCATAAATAATGAAGTTAGTAACGATAGAGGTAAAATTAACTTTATATTAACGGCAAGGATATACTCAATCAATAAAACAAATTGAGGGGTATTTTTGACCCTTTTCCCTATTTAAAACTACAAATTCTTGACATATTTAAAAATTGATTTTGGTGCAGAAAATGGAGATTTTCCAAGCTAATTCTATACCTTTATACCCTAAAAACCCAAATTATGGATCCACTGCTCTGATGTTTACAGTCTAGTCAACTGGTAGGAGGACCTATGGATGTCCTCCTGGACAACTTAAAAGGGTCGTTTGGCTAAGAATAAGTTATTCCGAGATTAATTATTCTGAGATAGGTTATCTCGGAATAAATTATCCCACCACGTATACAGAATACCGTATTTCATCACTATGATATAAATAGTGGATAAATAATTCAAAGACTACATAATAGCTCCAACTAAACACATGATAACAATATTGCTTGGCTTGTCATGGCACAACTGGCTTTTTTGCTTGTCGTTGGGCACTATTGTCTGTCATGTTTGGAATAACCACTAAGCTTATTTATGCACCAAACATCATGATTCATGCTACTGTTACAACTTACATGGCTGATGTTTCAAAGGCTATATAACGGTGGTCTCAAAACATGTATCAAATAGTTGTTGAGATGAAGAACAAATTGATGGCCATCTTACTTGCTAATGGCCACCACTGTGTCCGCCCCCCAAAAGCTAACGAAACTGAAAACACAAGTATAACTATAAAGGAGTTCTAAGTGGAACAAAAACAATAGCAAGATTGGATCATGTACACAATTTCAGGCAGCTTCTTAACGAGTGCAATAATCAAACAAATCCTATGAAAAACAAGACTGAATGCAGCTGTATGCAGGGTTATTCAATTCAATATAATGCTTCAATCACTCAGATGATGCATGCCTAGCAATTACACATTCTGAGAACCAATCAACACACTAATAAGAATGTATGGTTGCAGAAATTCTGTACAAAAAGTAGTCCATCACTTCAACCTCAACCAGAACTGCTGAGAGCCATCCCAGAATCAATATAACCAAATATCTTACACAACATTTCTGTTAATTTCTACTAGAATCTGATACAGAATCCACTTAAACTACAGTTAGGTCAACAGAGACCTCTGCCACTGTGTGTGCAACTAAGACGAGGTCTTCTTCCGAAATAGCTTGCTGATGTCTTCTGTAACAATATTGCTCCTGCACAAGTTAATTAAAGCATCTATTAGCCATCATAATTAAAACATCTGTTACTTGCAGAAAATAAAAAAATATGGCTCCCTAGGTGGTAATAGGATCGTCTATTAAAGGATGATTACGTCATATAATCCACAAGTGCTTTATCCACTTTTAGCATTAGAAAGACTATTGGTCACGACTCACGTATTACCACAGCTATACGATAATTTCTGAGAACTTAGCTCTCTTTAGATGGTGTGATGCAAATCCAACTTAAGACATGATGTCAAAGGCTTAGTTGCGTGGACTCTTCACTTTTGATGCCGCACCCGTCTCGGATTCTACAAAAATACACTACTTTTGGCGAATCCGACACGCACCCGTTGGCATTTTGAAGAGTCCGAGCAACATAGGTCAAAGGAAACTTACGATGTCATGTAATTCCTAAAATTTTCATTTCTCTATACCATTCTTTTTTAGTAAATCCCTTGCTGTTTGACCCTTGTTTTTCATCTTTCTATGCTCTTTTCATGCTCAAACATTTTGTAAAGCATTGCCTACCATAAGCTCCCAATAATTCACCAATTCCTATGTCTAATTGGCCCCCAGTCTGTGCTACTTTGACCATGGAAACAGCTGACTTTCTTAGGTTTTGGGATTAAGTGGTAGACAATAATGTCGAATCTACGGGTTCACACAGGAGAGTAATTTAAGGGCCATCTACCAGAAATTCATCCTTCTCCTTCTCGCTAATCTATAACCATGTAGGAGCAGTAATTTGATGGGTCCTCTGCCATAATTACTTCTTTCGCCTTCTGCTTGCATTTCTCTCATTTGCGATTCTGTGCTACGTCTTCCTACCATAGGATCCAGATTTTTTTCATTTCAATTTCCCAGCAGATATGCTCTACTCTGCTTCTGTTTCGTTACTCTACTCTAGTTATGCCAGAGGGAACTAGAGTATAAAATAATGTTAAACGGAGTGTATTAGTAATACTTGCATTAATATACATAGTCTACTTTTATGCATTGTTTGGTTTGGTGTATTAAAAATAGCATGCATTGCATAAAAATAATTATTTACAAAGATACCCTTCATAATTATGGTGGAAAAGATGTAAAAATGATTTTGAGGGGCAATGGGGTCTTTAATCATGCTAATCCATGCATTAAAACCCTTGCATTACTAATACCTAGAAATCCATGGTATTAGTAATACACAATAAAGTGTATAACTAATGCGTAGCATGAAAAAGTGCAACAAACAAGGTATAACTAATACAAAGAGTTAATGCGTGCATTATTTTTGCTAATACACTCTACCAAACGACCCCTTAGAGAATTGGACATTATCCTTCAGGAGGATTTGGCAAAACATAATAAGAACAAACAATAAACAGAACAAATAATGATACATGATACGATTTGCATAAATAGACGAACTTAATACAGAGCATGCAATGAGACTCAAAATTTCAGTATACAACTGACCTTCCGGTAAGTTGAGGTGGGAGCAGAAGACCACCTCCTGTTTCAGGGACATTCTTCATGTGAGGCAAAGTTCCTTTAGGAATCTTACTGCGTGGATAAGTGGATGCTGATACCTTTATATCCCGTTTCCGTGTTGCATTTTCAGCCATGGCTGCTGCAACTAGGGAAGTATGGTCAGTATTGTGTCCAAGATGGCCTGGCATTGTAGGTGAATTTAATAGAAGTGATGCATCAGGGAGTTTCAGTTCGGAGGACTCCAATAAACTTGACGAGTGTAATGCTTCTTTATTTAAAGACGAACTAGTCCTCCTGCATATGCAAATTCAATATAATTGAAGCATTGTCATAGGATAAATTTGCAAGTTGAAGCATTGCCATAGTATAAATTTGCAATTCATCATTTATGACTAAAAGTTCCTCCTCTAAATGCATATCAACCATAGTTTTCACTTTTCAATAGATCATAAAGGGTAAAGAAATAAGATCATATGTTTCGACTTATCATCAACAGTAGCATACTTATATTTATAATTGAGCTGCATGAGTCAGATCTTCAGATTATTTTCCCCATTAAAACTAAGCAAATTTATTAATGATTGCATAATCCAACCACATAGAACTATAGACGTCAAAAGCTTTATAGCACACTACTGGACTGATCAGTCACCAATTTTCACTTGGGATATTCTCAGCCAACAGAAGCCATTATTTTTAACGCAGTACTCTACACTTCACTATAACCTTCGAAGTGCTTTTAGGTGTTTAAACTTCAAAATCTATTAAACTAACACATCCCATGCTAACTAACTTATCAATGAAAGAAACAAAAACACCCCGCTCTATCAGTTGCCCTAAGCAAATTTTACACAGAAATGTAAAAACACAATTTCAGACAAATTCCAGCAAGCTTATTAGTTTATCAAACCCCGTATCATACTCTCTCCACCTCCTATGGGAGCTATATGGCATGTGGGGCAATACTCGGATTAGCCTGATTCCAGAAAATGCAGATGTATGGGATTGTTTTATCAGGCAGGGGATGTAACTCCGGAAATGTGCCTTATATAAAATAAAGGGCCAGAATCATTTTCTTTTCCCTGCCCGTCCTTATCCCCTTTGGCCTGGCAAATTGGCAGTCCCTCTCCTTATTAATCATTCAATTAAGAAATGCTCCATTATCTTAACAAATTTTCTTTTATGTAGCTCAGTAGGCATTAGAAAACACAAATTCACAAGCACAATTACTATAAGATTGAGCAAGAACACTTTCTTATTCCAACCAATGACAATCACTTGCTGCTTCAATTTACCAAAAATCTTTAATGTAACACTTTACAATAGTAGTATTATTTTTCATAGCTCATCACGGATAAAAAAGTTCACTTTTTTTGGGGGGGTCTACAATTCCACCCCTTTATCATCAAACCACAATCCAAGCCCTAGAATACTACAAAAAAAATAAATCTCGACCCATTAGGCAAAACAACAAAAACCCACAAATTCTCTCGAAACCCAAGTTCTAGAACACTAGGAAAAAATAAAGCATGTCCTATTAGACAACAACAAAAACCCACAAATTCTCTCGAAACCCAAGTTCTAGAACACTAGGAAAAAATAAAGCATGTCCTATTAGACAACAACAAAAACCCACAAATTCTCCCTCAAATAGGGATGCTATAATGGAGAATAAAACCCTAGTGGATACCCAAATAGAAAACTTAACTGGCTGCAAAGGATACTAATTTCATAAAGAAAAGAAAGTTACTGGTTTTGAGGCTGAGGAAGATGGCGATTGTCGTTTCTGGTTGGTAATGGATCCAAAGGGGGTCGAGGGGTTGGCTCTTCCGCTTTGCTAAGTTGTTTATTTTCTTGGGGTTGTTCGTGAAGCTCTTCTTCTTCGTCAGAGGATGCATAATCTACCAAAGACATCTTCTTTATTTCTTGTGCAAACTCTTCGATTGGGGACAAAAATTATAAGATTCTGAACATGGAATGATATATTATTACAACTAAACATATTTGTTTCCAAAAAGACTATAGAAAGGATAAACACCCCTCTAAGTTTTGATTTAATACTTTATTTCTTATTTTAATTTCTTCACAATAACTATTTTAAACTAATTATCATTTATTATGAATATGATAAAAAAAGTATCTATAATTTGATCAATTGCTTTTTCATACACTAGTCTTGGACACGTGCGTTGCACGTATATCCCAAATAAAAAATAATATTTGATTATAAATATAAATTAAAAAACATATATAAGATAAGAAATCAAAATAGATATCCTCAAATTTCAAAGTATAAGCATAATAAGAATATGTATTTCTAATGAGTTTAATCAATCATATCTCGCAATAATCCTTGCAATTCATACATCAACATTCAACCGTGTATATATAAAGAAAATTTGAAATGCATAACAACAATTATATCTATATTTTTGAAAACACTATAAAGTCAATTTTTCTTTTTGCATTATAATATGGATTGCACACAACAACTTCTATTAAAAAAAAAAAAAAAGGAAACACAAAATTAGGAAAAATAGTATCAATAAATTGGATGAAAAATGTAAAATTGTAATAAGAGGAAGAGAAGAAAAAAATCAGTAGAATATATTTACCTAACCATGAATAAGAAAGTATGTTGAGTAAAAGAGGAGCAATGCAAAAGTGTGAGCTGATAAATATAATAATCTGTATTAAATAATGAATAGACAACTCTTCAATTTCTGCAAAAATATTATAACTACGAGCTCAAGATAATATAAATTTATTAATTTAATAAATGACATAAATAAATAACATGCATTGTATGTATGTGTAGTTAATGGGGTAGTGAAAAAGACTTTTTCTAAAATTATTTTTATCTCTTTAAAGTATTTTTGAACTTATAATATTAGTGTTATAGAAAATCATATAAAGTCATAAGCTACTGCAAGTTTTTATAGTAATTATTTTATTAAATTATATACCTATTAACTTATTTTTAATTATTTATAATCATTCCAGAAATGTATAAATTAATTTTGAAAAGCTTGTAAAATGAGAAATTATTATTTCTGATCATTATTTTAGGGGGAAAATGTCTGAAATATATTCGAACTTTGGCCGAAATTGCTGTTATGATACCGAACTTTGGAAAAGACCTTTTACGCCTGCACTATTTAATAGTGTATTTTAAAGGTATATATGTGCCCACGTGGACATCAAAAATATTGCATAATTATAAATAGTAATGTGTCCACGTGAGCACATATATACCTTTAAAATACACTATTAAATAGTGCAGGGGGTAAAAGGTCTTCCATAAAGTTTGGTATCATAAAAGCAATTTCGATCAAAGTTGAAGTATTTTTCAGACCACTTTTCCTTATTTTAGCTATTATTAACATTTAGTATGACAACATTTAAAAAGGTAGCCTCCTTTAAATATTAACTGTTTCTAAATTAATGTAGCCAAGAATTAGAAATGTTTTGATGTTTTGTTTATCTAAACACGCAGAATTTTATTTTTGAACCTGAAACATGTAATTAAGCCTTGGGTGAATTATAATTTTATTTTTACCATTTAATTAAGTATATAATTTATAACATTTTAATATAATGAAGGGGTAAAATGGTAATCCAACTTTAAAGATTGGAACTTCCCACTTTTCGTAATATATGATGCTGATGTGATGTGATGTGATGATATAATGATTTACTCCCTCCGTCCACTATTAATTGTCACACTTTCCATTTTTAGAGTCAAACTATAAACATTTTGACTAACATTTTACAATATATTTTTTCATCATAATGATATGCAAAAAATTGCAATGTATAGTATTTTTCGTATAGTTTTTGAATATCTAAATTTTTTGTTTAAAATATCTAATTAATGTAATCTAATTTAACTTTAAAAATTAGTCAAATTGACTTTCGAAAAGCGCAACATGACAAATAAAAGTGGACGGAGGGAGTATGATATATGATGACACCTCTTCAAATTCTTTACTTAAAATATTAAACAATAGAGTCTATTTAGAAGGAAAAATATCGATTACATTGTTTTATCAATCATAACTTTTCAAATTCTTCTCTTATGAGATTTATGATTATGATTAAAAGCAATATCAATGTACTCATTTATCAAGAAAATAACAATTTAATTATTAAAGGGCTTATGAACTTCAAATTCTACCATTATGTGATTAAAATATTTGTATTTAATTAAATAATTAATCAAATTTAGTAAAGGGGCAAAATGGTAATTCAACTTTTTACTTTGGAGCTTTCCACTTATAGTAATATATGATATATATATATATATGGTTCTTGGTTAAATTCATTTGAGAACTTTTCTTGTTTCTACCAAAAAAACAAACAAGAAAATTTATGGGCACTTTAAAAAGTAATTCTTGATATTGTTAAGAGGATAGTGAAAGTTAGGTGATTTATTTTATTATACAGAATTGACTCGATAACTATCTACACTTTGATTATATGTTCGCTAATCATCTATGCAATTAACCTGTAAGTTCAGTTTCTATTTTTAATATTGTAGAAAGTAAACATTATACAGTTAAAAATGTTTTAAACAGGATTTCAATTTTTGAGTTGAAGAGAAATTGATCCAATTTTGGAATGACTAATGTCCCAGAACTACTTCTTTGACATATTGATTGTTGGAAGTAGCTGGAAAATGTCCCTTGAAGAGCTTGAAAAAAGCAAAAAAGGAAGTGTTTTAAAGCAATAAATAAAGTGAAAGATTGAATAAATGGAAGAAACATGATACAACATCAATTCTCATGCTACAAAGATATCAGGTCCATTTGTCTAAGACCATATTACAAAATTGACTGAACATACAACACCTAATTTCAGAAGCAACTTCACTGCCAAAGCAACAACTTGAATGGTCGAATAGTACATGATGCTGGTGTGCTAAGAGGTTCCTTCATCAAAGCTACTGCCCAAGTAATGAAGGTCTATAGATGGCATGACTTTGTGCAATCTCAATACGATCACGTGGATCATTCATAGTTTCATCTCTCAAGGCCTGAAGAATCGCCTCTGATGAAACCTCCCTGTAGTTTCAATGCAACAACACTCGGATTACTTATAAAAGAACTGCAAACATAAGGTTGGGGGGAAAGCAGGGCTAGAATCTCATGTACCTCATTATTAGTATTTTGTACAATGTCTTCAATAAAGGACAAAGTTCAACAGGAGCTACATGTTTGTTTTCATCAGGATGAAAAACATTTAAACTGGACTGACTAAGTAGCTCATAGAAGGCTTTTACTGCTGAAACTCCCTGCACAAATTGATACAGGTGTTAGCATTCACACATGATTCCACATACTCATTAACTCTCTTGCTGTTCTAGTTCAGAACGATATCCTCCGTGAACTAAACCAGAAACGATATATTCACATGGTATGCAGCTCAAGTTTTGTTATGTTATAGAGAGAGCAATTTCAAGGTGCATGTCGGATCCTCAAAAACCTATCAACATGATTTCAAATCAATGTCCAAACACTCCCCTAATAATTTACACATCAACTCCTATTAATATGCAACAGAAGTTAAGAAGAGTAAATTATCATTAGAAATCTATTTACAGCTACATGTTCATAGCTTGTCAATGTGTGCTAAGTATTCTAGAATGTACCTGTATCATCCCCTTTCCCTTGATGCTGTCACCCATTTCAAGGTTTATTTCCCCTTTGGCCAACTTTTGGCCATACCACGCATTACGACCTTTCAACAGGGTCACATATGTATCAGCCAGGAGTGGACCTGCAAGCTTCTCGGGTCCTTCAGCCAGGAGATGTGTAATGAAGATCATCTCAGATGTACAATGTGCAAAGTATACTGACTTGCTTGTGGCACTTTCATTAGTAAGAGCTGCTACCATACCTATAGAGTAGGAAATAGTGTCAATGTGTGGTTTCAAATGTACCTAAGCAGAGTCTAACACCTAATGTAAATCTCTCAATTATGGTGTTTCAATAAAGATCAAATTATTACATCATACTGCCATAACCAGGGACATAGAGCATTTGTAATGATATTCATGATTTCATGCAGGATATTGCTGTATAGAAAAAGTCTCAGCCACATTGTGGACGCCCTGACATCCTTAATATATTTACTAATGAGAATTCTCAGGGAATTACTCTGATTTCAGATCTGGTTCTTAACTTCCCCGAGACTCTGAAATGTTCATGTGAGTTGGAATTTGACTAAAGATGTCACAATGCTTAAACTGTGGGAAGCTGCAATTTATCACCACAACAATGCTGAAAGCTCCCAATCTCCAAAAAAAAAAGGAAGTAAACAAACAGTGATAGTGGAAATAAGGAGATGATCTTAGTGCGCACTCAGTCTAGGCTGGAGACAACTCGATAAGCCAATTCTAAGAAATCTATGCACTATAAAGTTTTTAACAGATAATAAGTAAAGTAAAACATTGCACCAGAAAGAGAAGATTGTACCAGCTCCAATGGCGTATACATTCTTTAGACCACCCATGACCTCATGAGTTACCAGGTCACCATTGTCCCATACGATAAAATGTGGCTGCCTCAAAAATCTCGCTAGTGCTTTCCGCCATTTCTCAGCTCCACATATCCGGGCATTGGCGTATTCTCTGTTGTAAATCTCTGATGCAATATTAGGTCCACCAAGATACAAGATATTTTCTACTGGAACTCCAGCTGCAAAAAATAGGTGTTACGTGAGCAATAAGTAACACTAATAAAGAACTTAAAGATCACATATTTTTGAAGTTCAAATTCAACCATATACGCCATAGGCTTGTCGCTTTAGCTATCAATAGTACAGAATGGTTGAAGAACCAACGTGGCTTGATCAGGTGCAAATAATAATTTTTCATATCTGAAGACTTCAAAATACAATTATATACACACACAGGAAGTAAAGTGAAATTAATATATTTCAACATTAAATCTAACTGGACATTAACAAGAGAAAATAACACAATCAAACAAAGCCCACAATTGGGGTCT